TAAATCGTATTTCAACCAGCCTGCAGCTGCTGTTTTCTTTTTCTGTCGTCATCTGCTTTTGTTTCGCATAGTGTGGTTCACTCCCGATCGGCTACGCGCCTTTTTCCAGCTTTCGCTCTCGTCCATCCACCACCGGAAATTGAAATTCATTTCTCCAGCTTTGCAGCCTCAAACTCCGGGACACATTAGCAGTCAGTCCAAAATGCAAATCAAGCTCAATGCAGAGATTGTTTTTTTTTCTTCGTGAACCACAAATCGTATGACTAAGTTTAGCCTGACAAACACACGTTCACGCACAGACACGCACACACGTGCGCAGATCAAGTTTGCTCCGAACACAGATTGCTCGATGAAGCTTTACTTTGGCAAATCTCGAATTGATATGACTGTCTTCTTTTCATAGTATACATCAATCAAAGTCCCAACCCCTCAGTACGTAACGTTTTATCAGTTCTCGACGGGCGGAAAGTGACTCACTGGCAATGTATGTATTTCACACTGAAGCATGGTCCCACAAAAATACTGGAAATATTGACTATCGTAAAATACGTATTCGGCTCAAAACACGTGTGAAATCTGCTACCTTTATCACAACGACACAATTCACCGTACACCATTGATGTTTCAAGTACTTTTTGTTCCTATAATCACATGTTGTAAAAGCTCTATCAAATTGAAAAGAACAAGCAGTTTCGTAGGGTGTTACATTCTGATTGCATTTACCCGGCGTTTATTTTTAAAGAACTGCGGATTTAATGAACGCGCATACCAATTCAAGTTTTCAATAAAAAAAGCCACTAGCTGAAGCAATTCTTAGTTTAGTCAATCTGTTAGGGACGCCAGAATATTATGGATAACGGAATAATTATCGTAAACGTTGTATTGTTCTTGATGACGAAACCCATTTTTGTTTTGACCTACCCTGACTGGGAAACGTTTTTATTGTTCGACAAATAGCAATTCTATAGTTTCGATTTAGAAAAATAAAAAGCAAAAAATAGACAAACAGGCAAATCTGGTGACAGACGGACAGAAGCCCATTTGACAAACCCGATCGACCATTATTGTTAGTGTGGTAATTATATGTTGTCTTCTCTATTGAATTTAAGGTCTCTTTTTTTATCCGTCGTTCTAGTTTTCAGCGAGACATCTTACATTCATTTTCTACAGCTGAGTTAAAGAGATGTCACCGTTTGGTATTGCGACAACGCTATCTCAGCCCAAACTTTAGGTCGGTATGTTGAAATCAACCAATGAACCAGTACTCAACAATAGTCCCACACGTGCAGCCGAACAGTAAAGTGGAGGTCACTGTGAGGAAAAAGTACACTGTATTGTTCAGGCAAGAGACGTTATGCTGAAACCACTAGACAGGGAGATGATGTTTTTCTTCAAATTCATCTCAGGGGTACCAACGTAGACCGGTAGTTTTCCATGCCGTGCACATTGCTAATATCGGTTGATTATGTTCAGTAATCCAGTTATGTCCTCCAATTCGTTTATGCGTAGCTAACGAGGCACCGGAATGCAGGAGTTTGTATGATTTTGATAAGGATTTGATTGTACGTTCGCCAGAACAGTAACCTAAAATACGATTAAAGATTTGTGAACACTATTAGAGTGCCGTTCAGTCACTACCTCCTTTTTGCCCCTTATTAGTCTATCCATCCACCGATCGATCTATCGATCGATCCTTTCATTCATCCATCCATCCAGTCATACATAAATACATGCATACATACATACATACATACATACATACATGCATAAATACATATATACATAAATACCTGCATACATACACACATACACGCATACATACATGCATACATACATAGATACATACATACATACATACATACATACATACATACATACATACATACATACATACATACATACATACATACATACATACATACATACATACATACATACATACATACATACATACATACATAGAAACATACATACATACATATATACAAACATACATACATACGTACATACATAAGTGTATACGTGTAAACCTACATACATCATTTATATAGCAGTTGAGTTTTGATGAAATTTGATGTGTTTTGTCTCACCTTGTGGGACCGGTAGCATGATGGTTTAGAGGACGTATGACTCCATTCCAAAATTACTTTCCGGGCAAATTTACTGTAAGGTCAAATGTGTTCAACAATGTGCTTACTAACCGATTCCTCAAACGGGATGCGGGAAGCGTGACTGCAATTCAGAAAAGCATACTGAATAATGAATTTCATGAACAAGCTTCTCAAGTCCAGGGAATGTTACGTGGGAACAACAAAGTCTGGCCGGGGCTGAGCGGATGGGTGGACAACCAACTTACCGGCATACACACGCAGCAAAGATTGATTATGGAGTATTAGATTGAATGGGCTGCGAAAATGCGGTAACAGTTGCTGCAGTTTACCAATACACAAATGATTGTGAGAAATTCATCGTGTTGGTTACAATTATTGGTAATTCTTAGGTACTGAATAAAGTCAACTCCCTATAGAAATTTGTCTTATTGATCCTGTTGTCCTTGGGGATGGATGTTTGCAGAAGGATGCAACATAACATGTGAATGATGTATGTCAGAAAGTTCACTGATGTCAGAAAAAACTCATATAGGGAACGAAGTTCACCTAAAATCGGTCTAGATTCGCTGAATGAGGTTTTGGAAGATATATAGCCTATCTTTGAGGATTGAACTTTCCGAAAGAAGTTTTCGGGTAACTATATGTTTGTTTAAGATACCTAATGTGTCCTTATTTTTACGGGACGCTGCGGTTCACTGATCAAGTCGTAGAATACATCTGGTCTACTTCAGATCACCAATAAACCATTTGCTAATGAGGAAGATAAGGATTGTATCCGTCTTATTCCAGATATGGGAATGCAAACACTATTATCCGGTTCCGTATCAGTGTGGGGTTATTCTGCAACTCAGGAACTGGTTCAAAATGGACATCACTGACTCAGTCAGACAAATAGGTTCATATTTCTGAAGTACGGGATTGAGCTTAGCTGGACCCAGTGCGGAGAATGCATTGGTAATGAGTAGAATTCAGGGTAGAAAGAAACGGCGGCAGTGGTTTTACATGCTAATCAAAAATCTGAAGAGTGCTGTCAAGTGAATGAATTCGTTTGGTGATCAGGCGGGCTGCGACATCCTTTGGGTCAACAACAGCGATCCGTCAGACTGTAGGCATGCTAATTAAAGTGTCAAGTCAGATCCAAAGATTGTTTTACTACACCATCAAGTACCTATTTACTTGTTACGTACATAAAAGGGAAACAAATGGAGAGGAAATTAAGCAAATTACGAGTACGAAGTAAATTTGATACTGTAAATGAATCACAAAATACATTCAGTCCGGGTATCTTAAACGAAGCTAGGAGTTATGTTTCTGTACGTACAAAATGGTTGTGTTCATAGCGTGTGAGAGAGATTGTAATGCATTCGGATAATTCTGAATTGGGAGGGTCAGGCAATATCTTGTGAGTAAATGAATCGCAAGCCTTCACGTGTAGGGTGAACATAAGGCAAATAATACAAGGTCTGTGTAAACCTCAATATGGATTAGCGTCTGAGTGATCTGAATAATGCACAAATCATTTCGGAATAACCCAGAAGAAAGAAACTGGAATGGCCTAGATTCACTGTGATAAAATTCAGAAATACAAGTATTAAATCAACAAGTGTAGACGGAAAGCATAGAAAGAAAACATGACTTTTGCAAGAACCTTATTGATATGCTGAAACCAAGTCAAACACTGGTAGCAACTTAAACCCCAGCGTTCCATTGAGTTTTTCTCACTCAGAGGTGAATCATTCCGATTTAAATATTTGTGAAAACCAACAAAGAACACTAGACAGCTGTTTCGTCCTGTTTGGGACTCGTCAGCAGTGCATAAATTTTGTGTCCCTGACAGGACTCGAACCGCAAACATCAGGGTCCTGACCTCAAACTCCACCGCTCAGTTACTCTAGAATTGACTGAGCCATTTTAAATATGTTTAGAGACGAAATAAGTGTAAAAGAAGAGAGGAGACAAAATAGCAATCAGAAGAACCTCTGATTCAGAAGTTCAGACAGGAAGATATAGAGCCACCGCAATGAATAAACTGTTTCTGGAAGGGAATTATTCATTTAGAAGGTCAATCTTAAATGGGGGGACGATATGCTCTACAAGAATCGAAAAATGACTGATCTCTATCAAAAATTCCATATCGATCGCTGTAGGTTAAACAACAGACTCTCACAAATGTTACTGATAAACTAAATATAATTCTTTGTGTCCAACTGGAGGATAACTTGCCTGAAAGTATCTTCCCAAAAATGACTTAAGGACTGCGGTTTGGTCAAAATAAATAAAATAGAATAGAGCTGCAATATTGTCAAATATTAGGCTATTCGAAAATTAACTTCAATATTAGCATCTTCTCTAAAATTTATTTATTTGTCGATTCCTCTTATCCAAGCAGATAGGCTATATTGATATAGGCGTTTCATTACAGTAATTTTCTGCATCACTGAGATCGCTGAGAGGTGCTTAAAATACCACCTCCTCCAGTGAACATTAAAAAATTGCACACCATTAAATAGTGGAGTGTAGTACCAGAGGCCCGTTTTATTTTTAATGGGACACATCTGCAACTCCTGGTGCAGTTGTATCCTGTCGAGTCTACTACCAATTTCTGCTTATCAGGTGCAGTAACACTGACTCGAATTTTCATGACCTATGACTATAGTTATTTGGGCATGTTCCTGCTTTAGATTGTGCGGCTAGGCCAACTTCAGGGTCTGTGTTTTGCAAGTGTGAATATTCGATAGGATTAATCCTGTTCATTATACGTGGATGGGAGTTCCTTCTTAAAGTGAAATCGGTTACACGGTTTGATGTATAACGAAAATTTGACTGATGTCGTCAAAACATTATACGCCTCACCCCTTAGTTTATCTTCTATTTGTTTCCCACTCGTAGTGAATCGACCCTACCCGCAAAAGCCGGTCGGCAATCGGAAGTGGTTTGAGAGATTCGGTTATCTCCTGGCCAGTCATTGGAATCTGCTCTCCGAGAACGATCAACGACAACACGATCAGCACGCCCAAAATGATGGAGGCGTGAAAGTCATAAACTGGTTATATCCGGCTCCTCGATTAAAATCAACTCAAGGTGTGTATTACTTATCTTATCTGTTGCAACTCAGCCATTAAACGTTTTACGCATGACTGAAATTTTACTGAGTGAAGCATTTGACTACCTGGCGGTGTAAAGTATATGAATGAACGTTGCAATAAATTTTACATGCAAAATAAACATTTTTCTTTCCATGAAAGAATAAATGTATATCATCTGGCTAGAAGAGGAACAAAGTAAATTGACTGGCTAGATAAGCTACATACTACTATAGTGTTTGGTTCTAACCACCCTACTACAGCCAACGTCTATCCGCCGTTCTTCAGCTATCGTCAGCAGTTCTAATGAAGAATGAATATATATTTTTGTTACATGTGACAGCATGATACACTATAAAACTGGCGCATTTTCTTGGGCAGTGGATGCGGTATTTAATAACGTGAAAGTGAATATACAATATAAGATAGTGGACAATATTGCTCTCAGAAATGCTGCAGCTGACCAATTGCTTTGTGAACCGTTATTACTGAACAGGAAAACAGGTCTTGAAGATCAATATCATCAGTTGAAACTGCAGCTGTCTTCAAAACTCAAAGTGGTTCGGAATAACGGTTTACAAGGCAGACATTCCAAGCGTTTGTTAGTATTGCGTAATTGACGGTGGCGATGTGCTTTCAGGTTAAAATTCAAAACTGTCAACCGAGTGGAAAAGGACGGTAACCGTAAATTCAATTAGAGGCACACATTTGTGACCAATTTCAGATTTTCTTTAACCCGCTTATTTATTGATAGATACAGTGGCACTATGTTGATTCCGAAATACGTGCACTCATCTGCAACCATTCTCTTGCAAAAAATCAATACATATATGTATATGAATCATCAATTGTTTCACAAGGACAATGTTCTTCCGCCTCGTGACAGCACATATCGAACTCCGCATCGTAAGCTACGGCGTCTAGGCTCGAATTTATGCTTACATGTTTCAATCTCTTGTGGCATCAATTGCAAAAGATTTATTTATTAATTTGTATGAATATTTTATTCTGTCAGGATCGATTGGCAGTGTGAATTTGGACACGGCTAAAATTTCGAATGCACGCCGAAAAATGGCTACGGGAACCAACAGTGCACGATCATTTGCGATTCCCACGACGGACATATTTCCCCTTTTTGTGATATCCCGAATAACTTTGTATTTTTATACCTGATGTAATCAACAATGTTAAAGTATGCTATTAACATATTTGATTTTCAGAATGTGTAAATATGAATACGGTTTAGGAAAAGATTGCTTTTCTCTTTTGAGTTTGCGAACCCAATTGGCAGAAGGGATGGTGATGATAAGCGGAAAAATCTTGAGCGATCATCATGAATAGGCTGCTTAAGCTGACGAAATGTGACGTTATTTCAGTGAAAAAGGAAACTTCAGACATTTTAACTGAAAACCAGGGCATTTAAAAAAACATTTACTAATTATGATCCAACTGTATTTTGTGCAGACAAAGTTGAATACTCACAGTATTTCACAAATACAATTACTTCGTAATGTACTGATGATTACTCCCTGAATAACAATCCACAGTGATGAAAACTACACGATCAGGAAAATGTATTTCCCTCCTTCTCTATATTGGGAATTTGCTGACAAGTTGTGCGTTTGAACAAAAGACCTATGTACACCAATCTTCATATTTCACACACTCTCAATAAACCCAAAGTGTGTATTGCATTGGATGTTTCTCAGTATTGAAGCCTTTCCAATCCAGGCACCAGACCCCCAATTTTCTTCAAAAATGTCTGTAAAACGAATACTATTGTTTCCAAACTTCAGAAAACACGTCATGTGATAAGCTTCAATAAAACATTGTAATACATAGAATCAGGATAGACATATGCACGTGCTCACTGCTGTTGAACGGCAACAATTGAAAAGTAGTCCTCTAAGGCACGTCTTTCAAAAAAAATAGCCTTTGTTCTTCATATGAATCTGAAAATAGCTGATCCTAGCTATATTTGCTTTCATGTTGCGTGGTGAAAGTAACTTACGAAACTCCCTGGATTACAGCTTTCATATTATTTTTCCTTTAAAATAGAATTACCTCTTTATAGATCTTTGTATGCATTGATTGCTAGATGACGATAAGCGATACATTCCCTATATGTTGAAGGCGTATAATTTATCGGGCAGTTTAACGGCGAATAAAAGATTTAACTGTAGAAAACAAGTTATGTTAAGATAAAATAAGACACCAATACTGAATAACTATTGATAATTGCAGCGTGGAGAACTCACCAACATCAACTTTGGTAATTCCTTTTTATTTTAGAAAGGTGCAAAACGTTTACACGACCGTGGCCGAGACCACAAAAAGGCTAACTGG